TCACTCTAATTTGCTTCTGAATCAATAAACTTATTATTATTCATCAAAAATGGTGATGCTGTTAAGGGCTTTGTAATCAATACAAAACCGCCACGTCCCATCCTTTTTTTTTTACTAATAATATCGCTGAAGAGAATGGGTTGTGACTGGGCTATATTATCCCTTGCTTAAGCATATCTTGAACTTGATTCTCGATTTCAGATTTTTGAAAGTAAGGGTATCGGTAGGTTACACTGGTCGGGGCTTGTCCCGGCATGAGGGGGATGTGGTGGTCATGCTCTCGGCGTGGTGGCAGTCCTTGGGGTTCTTTGAACATGCTGCCATAGTGCTGAAGGAGTTGTTGTAGGTGGTTTTGGAAGTCTCTAGGCCCATCTGGGCTTCTGTTAGCTAAAGATGGCCTGGTCCAATTTGAGTCCATGTGCATGAATATGGGTTGATCTAGATCTCCTCTTTGCTTTGTTAGTGTTGCAAGACTGATGGGCCTTGGACCCTTGCATGTTTGCCCTTGTAGATGGACTGTAGAGTTCCCTGATGTGAAGTCCATGGTGAGACGGGCCCAGTCACAGACCACGGGTCCTAGCTGTCTTAACCATTGAATGCCTAGCACCACGTCCGCTCCACTGAGATGGAGAGGATATAGGTCCACCACAAACTGGTGACCCTGAACCTTTAGTGGTAGGCCCATGCAAATGCTATTGCAGGATAGGCTATTACTGTTGGCCACATGAACCGTAAAGGCCGTTGTTGGTTGAACCGGAAGTTCCATTTTATCCACCAAGACTTGAGTTATGAAGTTAAGGGAGCTGCCACTGTCTATGAGGATTGACACTTGGTGTCCTTGGATTAGCCCTGCAACTCTCATTGTTTAAGGGGACGCAAGTCCCGTAAGGGCTTGTAGAGATATTTCAGGTGTGCCATTGGATTGTATTTCCCACCCTGGGTTAGATTCTCCGCAACTAGTGAGGTCGTCTTCCCCTTCGGCATCTGTTTAGAGGAGAAATGCTTGTTGTTTCTTGCAGCTATGGCCCGACCCAAATTTCTCTTCCCAGTTGTAATAGAGACCTTTATCTTTGCATGCTTGCATCTCTGCACAGGTCAGCCGTTTGAAAGGAACCAGTGGGCCTGGGCCCAGTACTCCTTCCTCCTTGTCTGGTGCTGTCGTCCTTTCTTGCTCCTGGACCCCATGGCCATTGCACCTTTCTTGCTCGACTGAACTTATCCTCATACAATCTTGTTAGCGCTGCCGCATTGATGACCGAAATGGGCTGCATCGCTTTCACTTCCAATCGCAGTTCTTCTTTTAGGCCGCCGACGAAGCTTCCCACCAACGCCTTCTCCGTCCACCCTTGGACTCTCACGGCCAGCCTTTCGAACTCCATCTGGTAATCCTTTACTGATCCCACCTGCTGCAGCTTTGCCAAATTTTCATCAAGATCTTCGAACCAGACAATCCAAAACGGATAGTCATGGTGCCCGTGAAGTCTGCCCAAGTTTGCCGAGGGTGCCCCCTTCGGTACCATTGAAACCAGAGGATAGCTTCCCCTTCAAGATGCGCAGAAGCCAAAGCTACCTATCTTGCCCAGGTGTTTCATGGTAATCGAAATTCCGTTCGGCTCTGAGAATCTAGGGAGTTGGGTCGCCACCTGAGAAGTTGGGGAAATCGATTTTGGCTACTCTCGTTGTCGCCCTTGTTCTGCGGTTGTTTTCATAGCTGCGCTCTTCTTGGCTTCCTCTATCGTTGTTTGTTGCCCCCTGCTCTAGTCGAAGGAGGAGAGCAGTGAAACCTTCCTTCATTTCTTTGAGATCTGAAGACATTCGATGGATCTCTACCTCCATCTGACCCATTCGGGTGTCTACTGACATGTTTCTTGTGTTGGTCATGCTGGCTCTGATACCAATTTGTTAGGAACCTGCCTAAATCAGGGCTCTTCAAGGGGCCAACCTCCTGAATTCTTGGAGAGAGAGAGAGAGAGAGAGTTTAATGCTGAAAGAATCAATGTCTTATTCCTCTTCTGCTCTACTACTTATACTGTTTTACAATCTTGATTGTCTTTCTGTTACAGCTGTTGCAAGTGGATGGTTAGTTGTGTTGACGTGGCCTCGTCTTGTAAAACTGATTAACTGCTTTCTGTTGGTCTGTTCCAGCAGTCTTAACACTTTCCAGTGTTGAACCCAAGGAGCATGCATATATTGACTCACAACACTAATAACATAGGAGATGTTTGCGCATGTCATACATAAATATAGTAGCTGACCTACTATCCTTTGATATCTCCCAATATCCTTAACCAACTCACCATCCAAAGCATTAATTCTGTGGTTCGGCCTTCGGGTCAATAGGAATATCAATTGGTTTCACTCCTAGATTCCTAGTTTCCTGCAGCAGGTTCAACACATACTTCCTTTGAGGGATGGATATGCCATGCTTGGATCTTGCAATCTCAATTCCCAAAAAATGTTTTAGTTCACCTAGATCTTTAATCTCAAATTCCTGCTGCAGTGACTTCTTGAGTGCATTAATCTCCTTCAGACCACTCCCAATAACAACTATATCATTCACATACACAACTAGTACTGACTACTGACACAAGTGCTTCTCTCCTCTTAACAAAGAAAGTGTGATCTGATTGGGTTTGTGTGTATCCAAAACGGATTAATGCCCCCTAAACCTATCAAACCATGCCCTAGGTGATTGTTTTAAACCATATAATGACTTTTTTTAGGCTGAATGCTTTTCCTTCACCAACATTCTCATAGAAACCGACTAGAAGGTCCGTATATACATTCTCTTGCAAGCCATCATTAAGGAATGTATTTTTAACACCAAGCTGGAAGAACGACCATGAATAAGTAGCTGCTAGAGACAAGAGGATCTGAATTGAGCTCATCTTAGCTATTGGTGCAAAGTCTCTAGATAATCTATACCATAGGTCTGTGTATACCCTTTTGTAATCAACCTTGCCTTGTACCTTTTTATGCTACCATTAGTCATCTACTTCACACTGAACACTCATCTACATCCAACCGTCTCCTTTTTTGCAGGAAGATCAACTATCCCCCATGCTCAGGTCTTAATCAAAGCCTCCATTTCTTCTATCATAGTTGTTCTCCACTCAGGTTTAGAGAGAGTCTCACTAACATTCCTGGGTATAAACACAGAATCTAGGGAAGAAAAGAAGTCAAAATAGGAAGGTGATAGGGAAGTTGTGAGAGACTAGCAACCCATTACATAAACCACCATCCAATATTGTATAACAAATGTGCCCAGTACTATGTTGTCTTTGAACCCCCTGCTTAGCTAAACCATCTTATCTCTTTAGCTTTCTCAACCCCAAAAACTGCTGCTAAAAATTCTTCTCTTACTGAATCACCTTGCTCATTGGGCCTGAGAACAAGGCACATATAAAACCACCCTCATCTATAATCACCCCTCCAATTCCTTAGGGGCTTGGATTGCCCACACTACTGCCATCAAAATTCAGTCTCATCCACCCACCCACTAGAGGTGATCAGACCTCTAGGAGCTTTTGTTTCCTAGAGGAAGAGCCAGCAATTGCCCCCCAACTCCTGAAGAAGTCCTCCACTTTGAAGTCTGAAAAGAATTTCAAGGTCTTTACCCAATGCACAACTCTCAAAGTTACAATTTCTATCACCGTCTCCTTATTCCTTTCCCTCTCCCTAAAAATTCTTGAGCCTCTTTCTTCCCACACTATCCAAATCACTTCTGCCCTTGTACATTTCCACAGGATCCTACCTCTCCTTTTCGTGCTTCTCAAAACAAAAGTGCTAAACAACCTTTCCAAACTGGCAGGAGGGTTCCACTTGCAACCTAAAAGAGAAAAAAAAACATTCCCAAACACAGCAAACAAAGGAACAGGAGATTAAGAAATGAAGAGCAGCCTCACCATTCAACTTACATAGAAAGCACTAGTTGGGGAACAAGGACCAATTTAGTCTTTTCTTTTATAGCAGATCAAAGGATTAATGCATCTATGGAATACTTTCCAGCAAAAGGCACTGACTTTTGGTGGAATGGAATGACACCAAAAAGTTTGGACGATTTCATGATTTATGCATGTCATCCTTGCACAAGGGCCATGCTAATCTTCAGAGTTCCAAGGGGAGCTCTCTTCAAGTCCTACAATGGTAGAAATTGGACTCAAAATGCGAGAAACAAGCTCTACTTACTTACTTATATGGTTATCTTTTCTCAGATCTATGAAATGAGGAATACATAGAAAAGTAGACAAAACCATATGCTTTTGTGAACCATCTAACCATATGTGGGTGTGTACATGTCTTCCAGTCTTGTGAACCATCAAACTGTGTGTTTATGCTTGGAGCATTTGGAATGTGCAAAGGGTGGCTTAGAAATGGAAGTTTAGGATCGTGACAGTATCAATACATCCTAAGAGAAGTGAAAAGCTTGACAAGGTCAGTAGGTACGAAGTTTACTTGTGTTTGAAGATCAGCTAACAGTCTAGCTGATAGGTTAGCTAGATAAGAGATGTAAGGTCTCAACTTTACTGAGAGAATGTATCCCCAGAAATCTTATTGGAAATGTATGTGAAGGGCAAAGATGGTGAGGTGGCTTTGCTAGCCTGTTGTATCACGAGTATGGGTGCAACTTGAATGTGATCAGGTTGAGTTGAGCATTTGTTAAAGTTTAAATGGGCCCAGCACCGGGTCTGTGTAAATTCTTCAAATTGGGTACTCAACTTGCAGCCCAAACGGCCCAATCACAAGGGGTGCTTGGCATGAACCTGTAAATGTATAAGTTCTTTTTATATAGTAAAAATATTGGTTTGTTACCAACAAAAAAATGGTCAGTTTGATTTTCAAAACTTTGGTTGATTCTATTATCTTTCTTCTGTTTGGGTTTCACTGCATCTCATATACACCTGAATGACTTGATGCTTTTCCTCCTTTCTTGTGTTTGTGCCTGTGTTTTTCAAAAGATTCGCCTAGATATGTATGACAAAAAGGCAACCATTTTGCAGGATGATCATGGAGATTTTTCATCGGTAAATATGGACACAGCAGTTGCAATACGTACCCTTGAAACAACATATAAATCAAGTGATGCTGCTGCAGTCGAGTCTATGATACTGAGACTTACAGATAAGGTGTGGCTATCACTATTGCAAATGCATATTTCATTACTATTGGGAGGGGGTTGCCAATATGTATGGTTTTTCTTTTTTTTTTATGAATATGTATGGTTGTGCTTTTCAAAACAAAAACAACTGTCACATCAGCAAAATCATATGGTTGTTTACAAAGTAGGCATGAAATCTTAAGTACTTTTCATATTTTCCTCCAAAGCGAAATGGTTGCATAAGGTTGTCTGTTGTCCAAAATTATTAGAGTTGTAAAGAACTATATATCTTTATTATTGTCTTTTGGGTCTATCTTTGGTTGAAGGTTATTCATCTTCATGGGTCAATTGTTGCTTCGTTGGTGAGATCAGCCAATGTGATGGCGGATGCCTCAGACAAGCAAGGGGTTAATAGGGGTCAATTGTTTCGGGTTGAGTTGTAATTTGTGTTTTCTGTTTTTATGGTAGAGGTAGCAGCTTGTGCCTCTCCAAGGGATTCTTGTATTGTCATTTTCTTGTGATTAATAAAATTCTACTTATCAAAAAAATGTTACTTCATGGTTCTCTTGCTAGAGGCAGCAATTATAGTAGTCCATGTTATGGACACAGCTTGGAATTTTGCATCTAGCTGCATTTCTTACAGTGCAAGTAATAGTGTAATTAAGTGGATGCAATGGGGTTTCCTTCGAGCATTCTTAAAGGAAAGCTTTATATCCCTTCTCATGAGTTTGTTTAGGGCCCCAATTGTTATCTCCATCCCAAATAAAATTTCTGTATTTGTTGAGGAACACATCTAGCTGTGTTTGTCATAGTGCAAGTAACAATGCAGTTAAGTGAATGAAACAGGAATTCCTTTAAGCACCCTGAAGGGCTTTAAATCCCTTTTCATGAGTTTGTTTATGGCCCCAAAATCATATTATCTTCATCCCAAATAAAAGTTGTGTATTTGTTGAGGAAAAAGAATATGGACATTACTTATTAACGTTGATGCATTTGATAATTTTATTGCTCAATGTGTTTATAAAAACACAAAACAGAAAGAAATGCCTTTTTATTTTTAGAAAAGGTAAAGTAGAGAGAATGCATTTTGCATTTTCATGTATATTTTGCTTGTTAGGTATGATGTTATAAATTATTTGCAAATAATTGTTTCAGGAAGGTCCAATTCTCAAAAGCAGGGGAAAGGCTAGTAATGCCACCCGGATAGCAGTTTTGACATGGAGATCATTATTAATTATGTCAAGGGAATGGCAATACTTCTGGCTTCGACTGATTCTCTGCATGCTTCTCACACTCTGTGTTGGAATGATATTTTCTAGCCTGGGGCATTCCTTGTCATCTGTTGTGGTGAGTTGTTTTTTATTTTTAATTTAACATCTTAATTGCATTGCATTTAGATTAACTTTTTCATCTGTTTGGGTGTATATCCTGAAAATATTAAATGTATCATAAATAATGGAGAATGCTATAAGATTATTTCTGTTTTTATAAACTTGTCAAAAAAAATAATAAAGCAATTGTACTAAAAATTTTATATGTATGTATACATGTATGGATACATACATAAATAGAGTTTACCACTTTGTAGAAGCCTAAGATAATATAATCAAGTTCAATTTGAAAGTCAACTAATTCACATGTAATGGATCTTTAATATGGCGGAATTTTTTTTTTTTGATGAATAACAGAAACTGATTTATTAGAATAATAAAGAGAGTATACAAAGGGGACAAAGGGAGAGATAAAAACTCTAACTCTCCCAAAAACAGACCATAGTTACAATACAGCCCAAAATAAACGATGCTTTCCCACCCCCTGCTTTGCTAGTGTATTAACAAATGAATTAGCATTCTTTTTCACCCATTGCACATTGATTTCCATTCCTTGAGACAACTATTTACTCCTCTTCCTTCTGCAACCACTCAATAATTAACTTTGAGTCCCCCTCAATAACTAGCTTCTGGATATTCAACTTTCTAGCTCTTTGAAGACCTTCCAGCATAGCCATGATTTCAGCCCTCAAAGAATCACCAACACCAATCAATCCCGAGTAGACAACAATGGTTAATCCTTCTTCATTTCTAAAAACTCCCCCAATGCCTGAGGGACCAAGATTTCCTTCACTACTCCCATCAAAATTCAGTTTAATAGAACCACATGGAGGAGGGGACCAAGTTGGCCTATCCACAACCTTAACAACTATCTTCCAATTCCTCACCAAATCATCTGTATGGACTCCCTCAAAAAGATCAAGAGACTCACCCAATGGATCATCCTAATTGTAATGACCTCAATTAGGGCATCCCTACTTCTCTCCTTATCAAGAAAGATCCTCTAAGTCCTTTCTTCCCATGCTATTCAGCACACAACCACCCTCGTACATCTCCATAAAGATCTTCCCCTCTTCATCGGCCATGTAACAAAGGTAGATACAAACAAAGAGAGAAACCAGTCCCAAAATGAAGAAATAAAAGGGAAGGAGATTAATAAGTGGTAGCAAGACTCACATCACTCATCATCAGCCTTACAAAGAGAGCATCGGTTAAGGGATAAGCACCAATTTGTTCTTTTTCTTTAAAGTAGATCATAGGTATTAATTTTCTCTAAAAAGGCTTCCCAACAAAAAGCACCTACATGAGGTGGGATAGGCTTGCTCCAAACCTCCCCAATAGGAAAAAGCATCCCCAGAGTATCCCTTGGCTAAACTAAGATCAAGAAGAAAGAGGCACAAGAAAATGAACCAGAAGAGACAAAAAATACTCATTTCCGATTCACAAAGCCCTCTCTTGAAACCCAATTCCTAGTCAAAACCAGATTGCGAATTAGAGGGCACAATGGAAGAAGAGATAGGTTCATCCCTAAGATTGGAAATGGCATAGAGAAAGGGAAGTTGCTCCTTCAAAGGAGAATTATCCAACCACACATGATCTCGGAATTTGACACAATTTCTAGAACAAGGATTATACCTAACAAATGGCAGGAAGGGTAGTAAAATTTCATGGATGAACTTCCAGGGAGAAGCTCTAGAAGCCTTAGCCAAAATCCAGGAATCCCAGCCCATTGTATACTGGTGATAACTTTTGTCTACAACTTGTCTCTATCCATGGTTTATCTCCACAACCATTTTCCTAACAAAGCAACATTCCTCTCTTGGATGTTCCCTAACCCTAATCCAGTAAACTTCTTGCTTTTTCTAACCACTTCTCACTTTATTGTCCTCCTCACCTAGCTCCTAAAGAAAGTCTCCCATCAATTTTTCTGCTAACCCCTTCAAGAATACTAAACACCGACAGAAAATAAACCAACAAATTGGCAAGTGTATACCTAATAAGTGTAATTCTTCACCTTGGAGATAGATAGCTTCTCTTCCATGATGCCAACTTCTTTATGAACCTTTCAACCACAAAATTCCAAAAATTACTTGTTCTTGGGTTATCCTCCAACAATAACTCCAAATAGGTTAACAACCACTAAGCCACCTCACAACCCAAAACCTAAGCACTTTCAGCAATCTCTCTCACATCCAAATTTAAACCCACATGGGAGCTTTTATCAAAATTAATTTTCATATTAGATATCTGTTCAAAATCTTGAACCCAACATCTTCAAATTCCTTACCCACCTAAGATTACCCGCCGTCACAAAACAAAATAGTATCATCATCATCAAAAACTTGAACTAACATCTTCAAATTCCTACTTACCCTCCAACCCCTCACCAAATTCCTGTTATCAGCTCTAGCCACAAGTCTTCCAAACACATCAATAATCAGTGTGAAAAGGAAAGGCAAAAGGAGATCCCCTTGTCTAAGATCTCTTGCCATTGGATAGTGATCCACCACAGGTCCATTCACCAAAATCGAATAATGATAAGTCTTCATGCACCCTGGGATCCATTTACACCATCTATCACCAAACCCAAAACTCCTCAACACCTCAAGCAAGAAATCCCAATCAACCAAATCATAAGCCTTTTCCAGACCGAACACACAACATCCTTGATTACATTCGACTCAAACCTTCTCCTCTAAGACTCTAACCACTCCTTAGAGTCCTCTAAACTAGACCACTCCAGACTCTCAATCTATATGATGGAAAATAAACTCAATGTGATTTTGGGGAACTCTTAAAACAACCTAAATAGATCATGGTTTTAAAAATAGCCCCTTGAAAAAAAAAAAAGAAATGAACATTGTTTACTTGGTTGATTGGGATATCACTCGATCATTTTTCTGGGCAGTGTTGTTATATAGATTACTTGGGGCCCAACACCCTATGTTAGGGGATGACAGTTGTGTCTTAATTTACCATTTCGAATAAAAAATATTTTATTTGTATCATGCAGGCTAGAATAATCTTTGTTATATGTTTCATATGATTGCAGGTGAGAGTTGCAGCAATATTTGTTTTTGTATCATTCACTTCCTTGCTAAGCATTGCTGGATTACCTGCTCATCTAACAGAAATCAAGGTAAATCATGGTTTCCATGTTTTTCCTTGCCTTTTATTCTTTTTTATATGCCCATTTTACTGATTTCAATGATGAGAAATTGAAAATAAGCTTGTAAGTCATGTATTAATTAGGGCTTCCTTAATAAATTTTTTTAGATCTTAAGTTATGGTTTAGGATTAGTTTCCTTATAAATAGATGTTATTACAAATTGACAACATTATAAATAAGTTTTCATTTTTTAACATTGAATGAAATTTTAGATTGCTCTTGAGATCTCTCTCAGTAATGATACCAATTTTGTTATCCTTGTATTGCAGCCAAAAGGATCAAACCTTGCCACCTAGAAAGCCCCAATAGAACAAAAAGAGTTAACTGGTTGTCTCGTGACCAGCAAAACAGACCATTTCTAACCAACAAAGAAACTCAGTAGCTGCAGATATAGGAACCCAAGCAAAGGAGGGATTGAGTTTGGAACTGAGAAACCTCAACTCCCTAATTTGATGGGCATTGCCCCCCTCCCCCAAGGCCGTCTGATCTTGCATAGCATGGTTGTATTGTGCTCTAGTGTCCAGTTGTCCACATCAATGTCTTGCTGGAATATGGAGCTCCCAGTATAAGCAAATAGATCAAATCTCGTGGACAGATAAACTTATGAGCTAGCTGCTGATGTAGGATCCCAAATAAAGAGGGGTTCAGTGCGGAAACTAAGAACTCCCTAATCTGATGCATTATCCTTCAAAAAGCCACTTGGGTCCATATCAACATCTTACTGAAATATTTTGTTTGTCATCTGTAGAGAACACTGATGTGGGCCCCACTGCAGTGGTCCCCACTGTGTTCGTAGGACAGCAGTGTAGTTATTTGTTTCAGTTATAGTAGTGTBAGTTTGAGTCAGTTTGTTAATTCAGTTGTTATTTATTTCAGCTTTTATTTACTTTATTTATTATGTAAGTACTAAGGGCAGATGTGTCCTTTCCATTATGT